TTTAAAGTAGTTTCATATATTTTTTGATGTCTTTTATGTTTCAAATTAGTGAGCAGTTTGAGGTTGAATTGTTTTGTAGAATTTTTTACATTTTATTTTTTCCCTCGTTAATTAATCTACCAAGTGCTCTAAAATTTTAGAAGTAACTAATTTCAAACATGAGACACATTTTTTACTTATGCCACAAAGGTCGTTAGAACTTGCTAATGTGGTCAATTTTCGAGTCAAACTTTTTTCAGAAAATTCCAGTATTTTCATTTTTATCTTTTAAGGTTTGTAAAACAACAATGGTTTGTTTATATGGGGTGAAACTTCAGTATATTATAGTATTTGATATGAAGATTAATTTTTACTTAATAAGCAAGTGTGATTGAGATAGTAAAATTTTTAGTTTTTGTCATGTCACTTTATCCAATTATTTGTGATGATCTGCAGGTGTCCCTATACTTTTGTCCAGGTAGTGTACCTAGAATTAAGCAATGTTGAGGATGCTATTTATTGAAATAATATATAGCATGTTATCCTGATATATTAATGGTTCAAATTATAATAAGTTATAATATATATATAAATATTTTCCTTTAATAAAAATCTTAGTTCATCACAATTAATATAAATTTCATACAGTAATAAATACCAGCCAGGCTCTAATATTAATGATACTATAATAGAGTTAATAAATAGGAATATATGGATGAATATATATATAAATTATTGAGAAAATAAATTTGAATTTTCTTATGTCCATAATAAATAGAATTAATGGATGAGCATATATGTGAATTATTAAGAAATTAATTTGGATTTTTTTATATCTATAGTTGTTAATGAATAAACAACAAATTATGTTTTTAATAAATAGAAGTTATTAATAAATGAATATATATATATATAATTTTATTATGGCTTATTATTGACAATTTGTTGTAAATAGTTTTATGTGACCCTTTATTTTATCTCATTTAATATGTTTCATCTGATATGTTTTTCAACTAATATCTTTTTTAAAATAGAGTATGCAGTATTCCGCCTCTTGTTAAGAACATTCATTGGCAGCTATTACTATTTTTGGTTATATCATCTTAAATATTATTGAAGTAAAAAGTGAAAAGTGAACCTAAAACTATACTTAAAAATGAAATTTTCTTCAACTAATAATTTCTTATATCTTGTAAACTTTGCAGTAATCCTAGGTGATCCTCAGAGTATATATTCAGATTATACATGCAGCCCAAATTGGTTTGGTGATTTCAATGGTCAAAATTATTTCAATTTTGATGGTAGAAAGTAGAAATTAATTACGGCACTCACTATTAAAAACATAAGTGTAACACCCCTTTACGACATGTGTAACCCCTTTATGACAATGTCAAAATACTTTGGGCTGCATAGCATAACGGGCTTAAATTTGATTGGCTGATCAACAAGGTATAGATAAATCGAAATTCATTATTAAAACTTCTGGTCATCTGACTTTAATCCCTTTTCTGACCACCAAAAATTATTTCTGGCTTATAAAACACATACTAATAGAAAGCCTAAGTTCTGTTTAATATAATACCAAAGTAATTCGAAAAATGATGAGGTAATTCAGAAGTTAGATGAGAAGCATTTCCAAGCGTTCAAAATAAATAGTGATAAATATATTTCATTATTAAATTTTTTTTTGTTATAACAACTTAGGCATTAAAAAAAAAATTAGTGAACCAACATGTTTAAAGGTACCTTTATAAACATTAATATAACCATTTACACTTTGAAAAAATATTTATAATTCTACAATATAAAGAAATAATTGCAACATGCTTGGATCTACTTGGCCAAAGAACAGTAGGAATATTATTATTCTGTTTATCATAGTTAATGCATTATAATAACAAGTGTGTTGAATAGTGTTCCATGTCGCAATCCAAAAGAGGAAACTTATATGATGCAAAGATGGTAGCAACCATCATCAAAAGTTACAGCTGGTATACTTAGTGTTGAATAATAATTATCTTATTAATGATGTAATATTTGAAATAGTTCTGCAACATAAAGAAACAATTACAACATGCTTGGATCTACTAGTCTAAAGAATGGTAGGAAGATTATTATGTTTCATCATAGTTAATAATACATTACAATAGCAAGTGTGTTGAATAAATATGTAAATGTTCAAATAATTATCACAATTATTTACAAATGTTTAGATATTTATTTAACACTGTTAATGAACTGATAATTTTATTGTTGTAAAATTATATAAAAGTTATCTTTATTTGTTTGAATTTTACATCTTTAAATAATAAAAATACAGTTCTTAAAATACAAATATAAATCATAAGAAAATAAATAAATATATAATCTATATATTGTATGGAAGCTTATAGACTTCCCGGAAAGTATTGATCATAATTAAAGATAACTTCTTAATTATAAATAATATAAATAAAAATAATAATATGATTATATTCCCCACAATATAACATAACAATATAATATCCACTTTTCTTAATAATAATAATAATATGTATAATTCTTCACCAAAAATCCCGATTGCCAAGTAACTTAAACGATAAAAAAAAATATGAATTCCTCTTACCAAATATGGTAATAAGATTAAATGCCATTTGTGTGACATATTATTTCGAGGATTGTTACACACTTGCATGAAGTGGCAACACCATGCCAAGCAATCATCCATTACACATCTACCTGCTCTAAAAAAAAATAGAAATATACTACTTGAGCATCACTATAAGCAATATAGTAAAATCAAAAGGGTTAGCCAAACCATTAATCACCAGAAAGGATTATGAATAGCTTTATTAATTAATTATAGTTTTTATTATTAAATATATATTGAAGGAAATTTCAAGTATACATGGTATTTATACTTCTTGAAGTATTACAAACAACATGACCTTTTACATGACTTTGTCCAATAAAATATAATAAATAGAATTATTATAATGAATGACTAATATTAATTATTAATGTTAAATGCCAAAAATGCATCATTAATGATGACATATAAAATGAATTGATTGACAACAATCAGGATCTAATTTCATATTAAAAAATAAAAGTGAGTTTGTATAATCAATGATAAAACAATGGAGAAGTGACTCGCCTTAAGCCATATGCATCATTATTTGACTCACTTAATAATAATAATAATAATGCAATAATAAAATTTAAAGTACTAATGATTTATGCTAAAAATTTCCATGAATATATATTTATGCTTTACTCTCAAACTATCTTACACTATCGTTAAACAATTTCTTGCTAAGCAATACTAAACAATATCTTTCTTTAGGTTTCACACAATGTCCTGATCATGTTCTTTGGTGGGTGTCCTCTCTCTTACTCCCTACTCAAGTCATTTGCATTTTCCAAACCTCACTAAAAAAAAAAAGAAAAGAAATAAAAAATAATAAAATAATAGAGACAAATATAAAATAAGAGAAACTGGTTATACACGGGATTAGTATGAATTTATTGTTAGACTATTGATAAAGATAATACATGAAGCTAAAAAAGTTACAGAATCATTATACATGTTAAAGGTTCAATAATCTAGTTCACTGATTCTGAGAACTCTTAATTTGTTCTAATTAAAGATAAATAAGACCTTTCTTTTAAAAATAATCCCAAGTTCTTTTTAAAGGAATGAATGATTTTGAATTCTTTCTTTTAAGAATTAAAGAAATGTTACAATTTAGAGTTTTATTTATTTAAAATTTATTGTATACATATTTTAGAAATAAATAGTTAAATAGTTTCCTTATGTTATGAAAACTTTACTCACATGTAAACATCATGACCAATTTTTGCTCCATTTTTTAAATTTAGTTTTATTATTAGTAAATAAAATTGCTTTATTATTAGGTTACTTTAAGTTAAACATACATATTTGTATGTTTGTTAGTTTAATCTTTAGTGTTGTGGGTGGATGGTCCAGAGCAGCACTTTATTAAATTGAATTCTTTGAAATATTTCTGTGTTGTTTTTATCTATGCTGAGTAAACATTTTATGATGATCATGCCATTCTTGGAATAGGTCAGGGTTGACAAATGTGTGGTCCATTAGTGTAACATTCTAGCCATATTTAGTAATTTATTAATGGCAATGGACCAGTCCAAATTCCAATAGTTCTCAATGGACCAGTCAATTTACCAACCCTGGAATGGGTTAATCGTAAATGATTGATTCAGTCATGGATGGTGGTGTGACCCACTACCCAAAGCTGTGACCTGCCACCTTGAATGGATATGGCGGTCCAGACCTACTGATCCATGGCATCGCCATAGCTCAATTCCACTATTTTATTAAATAAAATTAGGTTTTTAGTGCATATGTTTACATAATAATTTGTTAAAATTTCACTTCTATTTCTATTGCTACTATTACTATTGTTCCTACTCCTAGTACTAGTATTATTATTATTAGTGTTGTTGTTGTTATCCTCATTATTGTTTCTATTAATAGATCTATTATTACTACTATTTCTACTGTTATTCTTATTATTTAAACCTTTCCATTTTCTGCTCCATTGTAATTCCTGTTTCCTTTTCCCATTCTATGATACTATCACATCTCACTTTCCATATCTTTTCTTTGGATTTTCCACATTATGAAAATTTTTTTGTCTTTTTAAAAACTAGATTTTATTTTATTCTTTCACATGATTTTTAAGTTTCATTACGCATTTAGAAGTTTTTATATGATGATCGCCCCAAAATTTGTTTAAATGCGACTCGATTTGATTCGTTCGGAGCCTTAGTAATTGGTTCCCATAAAATCTATTAAAAGTACCCGTTTATTTTTTCTTTTGAATAATACCCTTTTTCATTTTCTCTATTATCAGAATTGGCTAAAGTATTATTATTATAAATTTTGTATATATACAAGTTTACCTCTTTCTGGTGATAATAAGTTCTTGAATGACATTTTAACTTGATAATTTTATTTTTTCTCTGTAGAAAAATATAAAGAATGTAGTAATCATCCCCTTTCCATTTATATTAATTATTATAAGATAAGGTTTGAAAACAATAATAGTACTAACTTTTAAAGGTTTAAAAAAAATATATTAAAATATACTTGATCTTCCTGCGATAAACAAAAAAAATCATGTGGGAATTTCCCTCTATTTAAAAATTTTTTTTTAAAAAAAAAAAATGAAAAAAAATGAAGCAGTCAGGAAAGCCTGGCTGGCAATCTTCAATAATACTTAACACATTAACAATTAATACATTTAATATTTTTTAAAAAATAAAATAAAAAATATTACGACACTACTACAACAATAAATATTGCATATATATGATATATATTAATTATATAAAAACAAGCTACAATCGCACACACACATATATTTATGTATATTAATAATATAAGCAACAAACATTCAACATTTATTTGATTTTTCAATTCATGGAAGCAACTGTTTAATAATAATATAAATAAAAGCTAGCTCTAAATCATTACTACTACAATAGATAATAATAATAATTAATAAAGAAGAGATTATTAATTGGGAGAAAACTACTCTAGCACGGGGTCAAAGAAATCCAATGTACTAAATGAAGTTATAGGTACAAGATCGATAACAAGAGCAGCAGTTGTAGTCCCTGGCACTTTTCAAAGCACAGCTAGCACTAACACACCTCCTGCCGATTCAACTACTAGAAACACGCCTCTTCCTACCTCAATCACTAGCAACGATATAATTTCCTCTGAATCAAGCAATCTAAACAACAATCAAGTTACATATAATTTGCTGAGACAGTTGGTAGTACCTTTAACTACTTCACAACGGGGGCATTATTGAATTAAAAACGGCAGAGACAATAGTGTCAGAAAGACAGCCAATAAATAGTAATAACAGCATAGTTGATCTTGGTAGTAGTTCTAGGAAAGAGACAACCTAATATCAAGCACTGCTCCAAGATTGACAACACCAATCCTGAGAACAACAATAACACAAACAATGCTAATGACATCACCAACAAAACTATCAATAATATCGCCAATAGCACCAACTGTAATGTCACAACTACAGAAATCGAATCCATTCGGAGAGTTGTCAGCACTAGCGGCGAGGATCAAATTGAAAGCTACAATAAGTGGCGCTCATAGGCTACTACCACAACAAAAAACATTGCTCAATCAAAGCTCGTCAAGCTTGACAAGTACATGTTTGGGAACAGAGGGATACTCAAACATGCGCTATGATCTCGGTCGAAGGCGCAATTCAGCTTGAACAACAAAGGAAGACCATGATGGCAAAATCAATATTATTATTAATAAATATTGCAACAAAAGCAGCAAAAATCCTCATACCATTAATTCCACCAATTCAATAGCAAAAATTAACAACTACAATGAGAATTTCTCAAGTAAGAGCATTGGAATAGGAAGGGGAAGTGATAACAATGATGATAATAATAAACGATAACGATATTGATAACAATATTGATAATAACAAGAAAAATAATGATAATGAAAACAACACCACTCTAACAACAACAACAACCACAACACATCAAAATAAAATTCCCCTCTTATATAACTGATATAGATGCTGCTAAGAACTGTTAGAACCATCAATACTATTTTACCATTAGCACAAAAATTGTGATTCTCGACTGACTAGACAAGAAAGATATTTAAAGTAAACATACCCATCAACATTTGAGAAATTGAAACTCTGACCAAGCAGCACCCCAAGTTGATACATTATACAAGGTCCGAAGGAAGGCCTCGGGCATAGCTTCAGAAATCTGAGAGGAAACAAAATAGAACCTCCCATCCATAAAGTTGAACCCTGAAGCATCTGCCCAGAAGGAATTAGAATTAGAGAGTGTAGCAGGGCTGTATGACCCTGCCAACATACCATTAGAATCATTCAGAATGAACCCATGCGGTTTGGTCCCTAAAAAGGGATAATGTCAGAAAGGTCAGAGTTATCCATCATCACTTGGCCCAATTTTCTTCAGCATTAATGATGATATTGAGAAAGAGATTTTCCACACATCCTATGAGAACGTTGGACATGTCGAAAAGTGGACCCGCACATTTGGAAAGGGGTACTTGCTATACAAATTGGATACTAAAGATCAATACAGTATTCTACCAGTTGATCCTTTGAGTAAACATTACAAGGGTTTGCCTGTATTGACAAGAAGCTTGCTTTCAGTAATAGAGATTCAGCCGGGACCTTTTGTAGGTTTGCTGGTTTACTAGATTGGATTGCAAATTATTTGGGCGTTCCTGCTGTCGTTCGCCATGTCGACGATTTTCTCCTCATTCTCCTACTACACCAACAGCAGTAGCCTGCAAATTCTTGGAAGTTTTTAAGGCAATGTTGGTTTTTCTTGGAATCTCCTTTAAGATTCGAATTGATCGGTTCCGTTGATGAATTAATTTTTCTTGGCATTTCGTTGAGTACTAGAGAGCTGTCAGTCTCAATACCTACGCAAAAGAGACCGAGACACTGATGATTATAAACAAACTGAAGAATTGCAAATACTGCACTGTGATGCAGAGCTACGTTCTATCTTGGTTGGTTTTCCAGGTTCATTCAGCAGAAAGACACTTTGTACAGGCCATCCATAAATTAAAATTAACTGGCGGAAAGAGAAAGAGCAAATGCAACAGAAATCATCGCCACACCGGCAATAAAGGAGGAGTTGGCCTGATTAGAAGTTACTCTAAACGGACGGAATGAGGGCGTATCTGCGCCTTTATTAAATTTCCCTTCACTAGCAGTTAATACAAATTCAATTCTCACATTAAACTCGAACATTTTGTGATAAAGTTATAACATCTCAACAAAATTTTTCTCAACGAAAAATAAAGAATCACAAGTAAATGTGAGAATAATAATAATAATAATAATAATAATAATAATAATAATAATAATAATAATAATAATAATAATAATAATAATAAT